AAATATGATATTTCTTTTTACATAATAGTAATCTAATTTTTTTGTACCTGTCCAAAATAGAAAACAACGGAGAAGAAAAATAAAGTAATTTGGATGATTTGTTTATGTGTTATGAGTTTTTATTTTTAAACTATGAAAAAAGATCAAGTAACTAAAAACATTAAGTGAGAGTAAAGAATCTTGTGTAATTTGCAGGGATGGGGACAGGGATGAGTGGTCCGGGCCCAAGTCGTGTGTTCGAGCCAAAGTCCAAGTCGTGTGTTGGAACCAAAGACGTGAGGTTGCCAACACCGTGTACGCAGGAGGACTGTGCATTTGTCTGCCGTCACAGGGACCTCTTACCTTTCGGATGTCCTGGTGTTGAGTGTATCTGTCTACAAAATTGTTAAGGAAAGATTAATGTATGAGACAGACAGCTTCAAAAGAATCGGTTATCGATTTATAATTAATGAATAATCATCGATCTATTTATTAAAAATTTAAAAAGTTGTGTAATGGTGGTGCCAAAAGAATCTATAATTATCCACTTAGAAAAAAATCCATCCGTGAATGACCATTGCAAAAATGAATTGATATTGACTCTTTAAAAAAAAAAAAAAAATCATATATTATCTCGTCTCTATCTTCCTTGTATATGTTCTCATTTTTTTCTTTCTTAGAAGAAACACGATATCCATTTTAAATATAATCTTCTCCTCTCATTCACAATTATTTCATTAATCGTGATCATGTGGTGATTCCGTCCCGGAGGTAGAGAAAGAATTGCGAAAGTGGCGGTGAGGCTCGGTACGTATAATTAATATACCGATAATCATCAATCTTTATAATAATTCAATAATGTTTTTTTCTTATAATTAAGAAATCAATATTGTTCATCATTCTATATATGTTTGATTTATGAGGTCTCATTACACATAATACAGGTAGGTGGTCATTTATGTTTTTGTTTATGAGCTAGGTCTCATTAGATAGGTAAGTTGTAATTTGATTTGAGAAATTACCCATTTTAGCATACTTTAGTTACTAGTATATATGGTCACAAGCACTCAAAATTGTAATATGATTTTTCTATTTTGGTTATGTCAACAATCACTGGTTATGTAGGTGGTCACGTCTATTGTCAAAGTTTGCTTATTTTTTGAAACTTTTTGAAAACTATCCTTTTTTTGTTCTTGTTAAGATTACAGTGTTATATATCTTTAGTAGTTCGATAATTTTCTATACTATATAACCAGTCCACCACTGGTAGATAGATGGCAATCACATGAGCCAAATTTACACTTTAATTTCACGTAATACTTTATTACAAACTGCATCCAAAGTTTGAAATATTCCCTTCTTTACCATAAAAACTCTCTTTGCAACAATGTTGTATAACTCATGCATGCATTCACTAGTTTTCTTTTTTTTTTTTTGGTAAAACCGAAATCTGCCACAAAGGGAAAATTCATCTCAATTTATTGTAATCACCATCAGAACGACAATGGAACGGAGTCTGCATAGTGCAGTAAAATATTGTACATATATGACAAGAGAGCCACGATAGAGCACAACAGAAGTACCAAAAATAACCGACATGAAGAAAAACTTTAACGAACAAGTACTTGATCCTCCAACTCGAAGAATATCCAATAACTTTCCGACATAGGAGAAGCAACAGACAAGGAGCATGAGCGTACCTTGTTTAGAACATTGCAGCCAAATTAAGAATTATCGAGCACGGGACAATGAGACGAGAGCAGAGACATGTAGCTCTGGACTAAACTCAAAAGGCATTCACTAATTCAACAACCTAATTTGTTAACTAAACTACCATTAGTAAAATGGAAGATAATCAAACCGACTAATTAATTAACTACTATTGAAACCAAGTAAACTGACTTTGTAGTTTACAATCGCTCCCAAAACCAAGTTAACCGACTTTTTTGCAATGTCAGATGCATCCTCACCGTTAGATATACGATCGGAATTCCGAGTAGGGGAAATCAGATGCAGACGTTGTTGTAATCTTACCGTGGTGACTCGCACAACGCACGCCGGACTGTAAGGATTTGGTGTTTGCGTGATGTGATTGTTTTAGTTTGGATGATAAAAGCAAAGCTTCTTCATGGCCATATCTCAACGAGATTTGTTTTTCCATTAGCTTTGGAGATTTTGGTTTTTGAATCGGAAAATTAGTTGATTATTTCAAGTGTAATGCGTTGCTTAGGAAATGTACATAGTGAAACTCGATTTCTCTGTGGTACAGGAATTTTGGTTTCAGTTTTATTGCTGTATCTCTCATCTCAAGTTAGGGATTCTGAAGAAACTTGTTAAAGAGACAATTATTAAATTTACGTTTTCTTCAGCATTTCTCTGCACTCATTTTGATAAACTGTTGATATGACCAAATGCATCATCTCTCAAGAGCAAACAACGGGTACTTCATTTGTTATTAGTGTTGTTATGAATTAGGTGACGTCTAAATGATTGAGTCATTCAGATATTGTTTGTATTGCTGCTATTTACTATTCATTCACAAGTATCAGAGTTATGTCAAAAAGGTATGGATTGGAAGCCCTTTAGTTTTTTGTTTGCTGGTTTCAACTCTCCATGTATGAGCAGTTGCAAGAGATGAATGTTGCACAATTGAAAGACTGGAGATAAGTAGGGAAATGCTTCTCATGGAACTTAAACTTTGTCCCTCAAGGTTGCTGTCCGTACCAGCTTCGATGTATCATAACTGAGCTAACCTCGAACTAAACTGATATAATTTCGTCATTTACTTTCTTTCTTTCCAGGGGGGAACTTGCGAAAGAAGACCAGAGCAGAATTGTTATCTACTCAAGCTCTACAACTCTCAGGTCAACGGGCTTATTCGCAGGTAAGTTTCACCTGGACCTTCTTCAATCCTTTGGGATTGCATCATCTTGTTGATTCTTTTAGGAAGACGATAGAACATTCATAGAACAGAAAAACATAGAAGAAAGAAACATAACAATAAGTTCATTTATTATGATGGTTGATGACTATTGTGACATCATTTGTAACCATCCGTATACACAACAATGGGGCTTCTCACTTTATGGGTGCCATCAAACCAGATTAGGTTTGCAGATGAAGGCAGTTTTGGGTTGAGATTGCTGCCTGAAACAGTCACTGTGAAAGATTGCTTCTCGTTCACCGACTTCATTGATAGAACACTAGGTGAGACCTTTACGCTGAGTTTAGATTCGTGACCTGCGAGTACCTTTGATTTGTATGTCGAGTTGGGGGCACCGACATTAGTGACGGTTCTGATGAAAGTGATGGTGAAAGAGCTATTATTTCCCGTTATTTTAGCCGACATGGAAGGATAGTTGAGGTTTCTTTGTAAGATTTTCTCCGTGCAAGTGATGGCTTCACCGGAAATGAGTTTCAGGGCTGTTGCATTCAAGTTCATGCCACAGAGAAAGGCGATGTGGTCTGATTTGGTCGATTCATAGACGAGTCCGGGATTAACAGCAGCCACTGGGTCGACATGGCCGGCTCCATAAGAAAACTCGGTCGATGCAAAGCCAGTTCCAGTAGCATTCATCAGCCAAGCTGCAAAGATTAATCAA